GTTTGTCCCTGTCCTGTGGCTGTGTTCGCTCCACAACAGGGCAAGCATTTTGTTAATTTTCCATTTTTAAATATTTCTGATAATATATTTCTTTTATTCTTCAAAAAATTCAAAAAATATTCTAAAAAAAGAAAAAGACTTGTGTGCCTGGCGCGGGGGTCCGCCATCTTAACGAATCGATTCGTTAATAATAACGAAATTTCGTAAATACCGAACTTTTTTAAAGGAAAATTTTGTAATTCTTTTAAATAACGAAACGCAAAAAAAACCCAAAAACAAATCGATTTTGGAAACAAATTTTTGCGTTGTTACCCAGGCCTAGTATGCAACCCTAATGCCCACTCCTATTTGCCAGCTCTGTTTTGAATTGTGCCCCAAATGCTTTCCACTCTTCAAAGGAAGTCCCCCATATATTACAATAACCTACTCTGGAAATCATGTGTACATCTATACTGCATAAAGAAATGCCGTTTGACACCACTACAACTGCCATGACTCAATGCAATGGATTCATGGAGTTTGTAGTTTCATGAGGCAGAAAAAACTAAAGAACTTGAAAATGACACCTCCCAGGATTCCATTGCACTGAACCATGGCACTTCATGTGGCATCAACTTGCATTAATTCTAATGTGTAGATCATTCTGACTACAAGATGACTAGCTTAGGGGAAGCCATCTCTTTATAGACAGGGTCAACAAAGTCCCAAATTTCAATATGTATTTAAAAACAACTCTTGTTCTGTTTGCTTTGATCTCTTCCCCTGTCTGAAACATTTGTTGAAATGTGTACATTTCCCTCTGTTACTGTCACAGTTCATGGATTTTCAAAAATACATAAAAATCTAGTTGAGGAGGAAAATCCTTCATGTTTTGCTCATACCCAAATATATAATATTTCAGAAGCAATGTGCTTAGAAAACCGATGTAGAAGACTCTGCAATAACAAAAAGGTAAAGTGATCTCAATAAAAAGCAATAATACAGAACTAAAAGGCATAAAACATATTCAGGAATCAATGAATATTTGGCAAACTATTTCCCTTCTTAAGTAGGTGACAGAATGCATTACCAAAGTATTTTCTTTCTCTTTCTGCTTCTGCTGAAGTATACTGTAAGCCTAGTGCATTGGCTCTTAAACTAGTAAGCTTGATTTCGTAGAAGAGATGCTTGAAGTCTAAACAATTGAGAAGTCTTCCTCAAGACTTTTAAAAGAAAAAGTTTTTTTTAAAAAAAATAGACATTCAACAAAACCATTTTTTTTAAATCCAAGAACTATGATGTATCTCCAGATACACCCACTATAGAATTAACGCGGTTTGCCACAATTCCAACTGTATGTCTTAATGCTATGGAATCATGGGAAATGTAGTTTGATGAGGCCCAAGCACTCTTTGGAAGAGAAGATCTTATAAAATTGCAATACACATGATTCCATAGCATTAAACCATAGTAGTTAAATAGTGGCAAACTGTATTAATTCTACAGTATAGCTCTGCCTTATGGTGACACCTGAATGAAATTCCTTTATACAGGGGAAGCATATCTATAAATGCCATGTCCATGGGATATCTCACAAGGATCATCACCTTTTTGAATTGATTGTGAGTGGTCAGAATCATTTGAGTAACATCTTTTAAAGATAGTGTGATGAACAAGGCAACTGTAAACAGACTACCCCAGTTACTGAGTCACAAAGTATGACTGAAGGCAGGTACTCATTCAATTAAATCTTCTCAGTTTGAAATAGTTTGTCTAGTGTAGTTATACTGAGCTTGGTAAGTAATCAGAAGGCAGCAAAGCATCCACTTATTTTACCTAGAGGCAGGATAAAAATATAATTTTCTGTGGGATCCCATTGCTTCTTCAGAAATGCCGACTGCCTCCTGCTGTCCCCATGAACCCTAAAAACCTGTGCATTCTAAATCGTCTTTTAAAATAGGCTTGTAATTGGGTTCTGTATTAACCAGCCTCTCAACACTCTTCAAAAGCAACCCTTTATAGTGCATTGTAGTAGTATCACCTGGAGTTACTAGAAGATGCATAACTGAAATTAAACTATATGTGTACACTTGGTGTTATTGTTGTTCAAAAAGATGCCTACCTCCACTAACCACTGGTGATTTTGTCACACTCTTTGTGCTTGTGAATACACCCTAATTTAATTGTCTTTTCTACTTGACATTTTTACATACAAAAGATGTTTAATTTTTCTTGTTCACAGCCATTCATTCATATATATTTTACACAATGAGAAACTAGACAAGGAAACAACTGCTGTGGTATTCTGTCCTGGGTACAACACAAAGCCCATCTTCACACCTGCAATTATCTGAAACAGTCCTAGTAAATTCTGAAGCCCTCCCAAATCTTGTCAAACAAAATGAAAAGCCACAGATTCCACAAATGAACAGTAGAGAGAGGATGATGCTCCCTTCCCATCTGCTTCCATTGTTTTCAGTTATTTGAAAGCAAATGGCAACATGCCTGTACAAAGAGTTCACATCACAGCCAAGTTGGATGCCAACAGAATTCTGTTTGCAAGGTGGAGAAGAAGGGATGTTGCCCTCTCAACGGTAGGCTCCCAGTGGAGGATGACAAGGTTGTTTTTTCCAACTCCATGGAGAGCCAGCTGCTCAGCTATTATTTTGGTCACATCCAAATATGATTCAAAATGTTCTGGCTCAATAAACAATTACAAAAGAGGG